CGAATTATCACTTCCCATCTGGGAGAATAGACAGGGCTTGGTTCTACCTCAAAGGTGGACCCTGTTCTTGGCGGGTAACTAAATCTTTGGTAGTGAGAATTGAAGGATCCCCCTAAACAGCACAGGCTTCAGCCCTGGCCCCCAGCCTCCACCTCAGCATTCTGCCAAGGACTGGAGTCTCCTGCTCACACCTGCCCACCCCAGGTTTCCCTTTGAAATTGCAGAGCACCCCTTGCATTCCTTTATCACCCTTTCACACTGAAGGAGACCTCAGGACCTAGTATATTGTGCAAGGGGCATAGTTCACCAGCTGCTCTTCTAGGCGTCAAGAGAGTTGTGGGTCTATCAAAGCACCAGGTGTCCAGGAGCAGGGACAAGAGGTGCCACCGACCTCTGGCTCTCCCACTTAACACACTCAGTCACTGATAATTAGGGCAAACTCAAAGGTTGCCTTAAGCTGTCCCTTTGCTGAGGCCGGCAGCTGAGTCACGTGTGAGGTGAGTCTGTGTCACTTAGCTGATGCGAAAGCTAGTGTGTCGCTCAGACTTGGAGCCTCTGTTTCCCCACTGAACCAACAACTGGGGTCCATAGAGAAAGGCAGAGTTGATTAAGGTGAAAGAGTCCAAGAAAACGACAGTTCTTAAGCAGAGAATGGCATCATCTCTAGTGGTATTACACATCTAGGGATTTGCAAAGGTCTCTCCTGATGCTCTTTACACATGCCAAGGGTCTCAGCACTCAAAGGGGTAAAGAAAGAAGCTTCAGTGATTTCTCCACTTTGGGAAAACATTGCCTGCCTGGTGGCCTGAGTAAGGAGGGAAGTCACAGATCTGCCAGACTGCAGAGAGCAGCTTACAAGGAGGAGGCAACCCCTCCTTAGGTATCACTGGCTGAGCCTTCCATCACATGTTCTACCCACACGTCTCCATGGGCAAGTGGGAGAGACCAGGTGACTTCTCTTAATCACAGAAAACTGACTGACTGAGGTCCATCTACAGAGTCTGGGCTGGAGCTGGGACAAGTTCTTAGGGCCCTAAAATACTGTGTGATCTTAAAAGTTGGTATAAACTGAAGCACCCAAGTATGGTCATATTGTGTATTAAGTTATGCATCTGAAAGTTAGACAGTGAATAAGGTTGACAAAAAAAGGATTGATGTCTTTGAATTGTGGTGCTGGAGAAGAGTACTGAATATCTCATGGACTGTCCAAAGAACAAACAGGTATGCCTTGGAAAAAGTACAACCAAGCGTTCCTGGGAGACAAGATAGTGGAGCTTCATCTCACATCCTTTGGTCATATTGTAAGTAAGCACCAGTCCTTGGAAAAAGACATGATGCTGCTTGGAAAGATGGGAGGTCCTCAAAGGAGAGGAAGACCCTCAATGGGGTAGATTGACACAACAACTGTAACAGTGGACTCAAGTACGTCAGAGATGGTGACAATGGCACAAGATAGGACAGGGTTCAGATCCATTGTTCATAGGGTCGCCATGAGTTACAGTAAACTCACCGGCGCTTAAGAACAACAACTCCTTATAATGTTATCAATTAGGGAAATGTCAACCCACTCCCTGCACATTGCAGAGACCTGGTACACCGAGGCCAATTGTCTTATTAGAAGGAAATTAATGTAATATGATGTTAAGTTGCAAATTTTGACAGAAGCTGTGAGAGAAAAGGTGTTCAACATCAAGGGGAAGGGGAATGATTATTCCAAGGTCTCCTTAAGGAGACACCAAATGCCATGTTCACAATGTCCCCAAAGACACTGAAGGTGCACAGGGCATGAAGGAGTTGAAAGGAAAGCATTCCTGGAGAAAAGATTTCTTAGAGCTGAGGGTGTGCCCTGAATCTCGCCATCTCTCCAAAGGGGTCTTGCCTTTCCTCTGAAGTCTAGAAGGAGAGGATACTCCAGGATCCCACCCTACACAGAGGCCAGATCTTTCCCAAAGGCATTACACCAGTAGCTATTAAGCCCATTTCTTCTAATGGCTGACCCTGCGTGCACCTCGTGGGGCTGGCGTGATTTTTGTAGTCTGGGTGGGCATTTGCACAGAGAGTTAGTTTTGCATTCAACAGAGCAAACGCATTTTCACTCCTCGCGTCGAATACCCTCTCATCAGTGTAAGAGCTCCCTGCCCACCTCGTCCACGAGTTCCCTGTTGCTATCTGTCCTCACTTCCTGCCCCTTCTGTCTGCAGAGTTTTGTCTGTGGGCGTATGCGCTCTGTGGTCTCATACTGTTCCTTGCACAGAGAACATATGGGTTCACTGGACTGTGACCTTGCAGAACCGACTGTCAGGCCTGGCCTCCAAGGCTCACATGTTGGCTTCTGACAATAGCTGTGTACTTAATAATTGGCTATGTCCTGGGACTCCCAATGTTGTTGTTGTTGTTGTTATGTGCCATATAGTTGACTGTGACTCATAGTGGCCCTATGAACAACACATCTGAACTTGGCCTATCCCGTGGCCCCTCATCACCTCTGATACCCTTGAGCCCGCTCTTACAATCTCCATGCCAATCCGTCTTGTTCAGGGTCTTCCTTTCCTATGCTGACCTTCTGTCTTTCCAAGCATGATACCATTTTCTAAGGACTTGTTCCTCCTCACGACATGCCCAAAGTGTGTGAGATGAAGTGTCACCAGCCTTGTTTCTGGGGAGCACCCTGGTCCCACTGCCTCTAAGACACAGCTATTTGTTCTCTCTTGGCAATTCATAGTCCGTACTCTTCTCCACAGGACTCCGTATTGAAGCTTTTCAGGGAGTCATATCAAGAAGCAGCACGAGACTCAGTTGCTCTCTGATTAAATTCCACAAAGCGGGGTGTTCAGTATACCCTCAAAACACCACCTCCTCTCCCAATCAGCTCTTGTTAAGAAGTTTTTAATTGTTAAAAATGCTAACTATGTCCAGCACCATTCAGAGTATTAGTTAGAGAAGATTGATGTGATTAATTCTATTTGGATGAGAAAACGGAGGCGCAGAAAGATAAAAAAATAAAAAGTTGCTCACTGTCTTAAAGCAAGTCCCTGGCTCTGGTCCCAACTACACTCACTGGTTCCTCTAGTTTAATTTCTTCATCTGAATAATCCTGTTCGAAGTCATGAATCTGAGTTCTGCTCCAAACTGTTTGCCTGTGTCTAGAACTGGAACTTCAATTCGACGGACCACCATGTGATTATGGAGCTATAAACCATCGAGTTGGAACCGACCGATAAGTTGACTCTCCAGAGGGTTGTCGGAGTGAGTTAATCTCACAGGAGGAGATTGCCTGTTTTCTCCTTCAGAGCCACTGGTGGATTCAAACCCCATGCCTTCAGGATAGCAATGTAGCTTTTTACCACTAGGCCACCAGCCTTCCACGGTATGGGAAAACATCCAGGCAACATATCAGGGGTGGGGTCTGGTGGGAGTTTTGCTTTCTGCTGACAAGGTTCAGATCTGCTGTTCACAGAGTTGCGATGAGTCTTGGTTGACTCAATGGCACCTAACAACTTTCCCCAAGTGTTCTGAGTTAACATCCTGAAAGTCAGAGGAAAATAAAGATATTCAATATTAGAAACACACCTAAGGCAGGTGAAGATAGCCCCACACTTCATAAATGATGAAACAAGTCGTAGATCTTCTTGTTCATTGATGCTGTAGAAATATTCTAGATAGTAATTGCCAAAGACTTTTGTGATTCTCTTTCTTGGAGAAACCTCCCACCATCACATCCTATTGATGTGGTTTCTGACCACATCTGAAGTTGTTTTTCTTATGAGAGGGAAGTGTCAGCGAGGCTGACAGGGGGGAAGCACAGCAAAGTTGATAAGGAAAATGAGATAAGGAGGCATCTTCTCATTCTCTTCAAAATAGGAACAGGCTTTGGCAAGAACAAAACAAGGACAGGTGGCCAAGTCTCCTGCCCAAGGCATGGTCCAGAGTAGCTGCTCAGGAATTGTCAGTTTTTCTCCATATTCCCTCTGGCTTTGTGCAGAGACTGCCGGCTGGGGGCCAAGGCTCCGTGTTTTCTACCAGCCCCACAAGAGGCCCACCCTGCAGTCCTCAGTCTTAAGATTTTCTGGCTACTTCTTTTCTGCTCCCCTACTGTGTACAACATTGCTTTGGTGGCTTAAGTGGTGAGGGATTGTGCTGCCAACCCAAAGGTACTCAGTTCAAATCCACCAGCTGCTGGTGGCAGATAGGTTATCTCCTTCTGTACAATTAACTGCCTCTAAAAACCTGCTAGAACTGTAATCCCAGAGGCATGTGGTTTGAATCCACCAGAAGCTCTGCTGGAGAATGAGGGGGCAATCTCCTTCTGTACCCGTCAGATCAGATTTGACGGTACATGCATAAAAATTAATAAAAATAAAAAAATTTAAATTAAAAAAAAAAGCCAACAAACCTGCTGGAAAGTTAGCTATGAGTCAGTTTCAACTTGATGGCACACAACCACTATGTACAAAAAGAGAGCTCTGATGGCCCAGTAGGTATACCAACCCAAAGGCAGGCAGTTCAAATCCACTATAGGGTCTCAAGAAGAAAGTTGGACAATCATTTCCTCTGCAATTTACAGCCTCTGAAAAACCCACTGGAGGGTCAGCTGAGTTGGTTCTCACTCCACGACACACAACAACAGCAATGACAACACTACAAACAAGGTTAAAAACAAGGTAGTTCAGCTTGTCAAATAAATCACCATCCCGTGGCATGAGAACTGGAGCATTCTGGTCTCAGATTTTATTTTCTTCTCTCTCTCTGTATGTGTGTGTTCTTCACTTACTTAATGCCTACTTTCCAGGCACTGTGATAAGTTCATTCTAGACAGTCCCAGTTATTGTGATTCTCCATTTTTAGATGAGAAAGCTAAACCTCAGAGGATTTGTGAGACCTCCCCCAAATCCACAGCTAGTAAATTAAAATAAGGATTTGCACATGGGTTTGATGACCTCCGAAATGGTCCTCCCCAAGGTCCCGACCCCAGTCCTCCCAACGCCCCCTGTCCCTCTTACCCAGGGCCTTCATGTAGCCATCAAAGTTGTCATTGCTCTCCATCTCCCAGGTTCCACTCTGGTCCTTCGACATGATGGCTTCTGGCTCAGACTGGCTCACGGTAACAGGTTGAGAAGAAGCTGCAGGGAAACTGTGTTAGATTAAGCCGCTTTTATAGCCAGCGAACCCACGTTTATGACTTTAAGATAACAGGGTCAAAGATCATGAGCACGACTCAAAGGCACTTTCCTTTGCAAAGTCCAGCAGGACAGCTGGAACCCAGGCACAAAGTCCTGAAGTGCTGCCTGAGGTGTCTCGATGAGCTCCACTGTGGACAGAATCACAGCATGCCTCGGCTGGGGCTGGCTGGACCCCTACACAGGCCTGACCCTACACAGGGCGCTGTACCCAGTGCTTGACAAAACAGGCACGTTAAAGTAGCCCTCCGCACACAACCCCCTGAAAGCTGGAGCCGGCCAGCTGTGTATCCAGTAAAGACGTGGGCACTCACCCTCAAGGGACGCTCTGCTGCCCACTGGACAGTACACACGTGTCATCTTTCTTAACCTTACAAACAAGACTTATGTGGGGTTTTTTTGGGGGGGGTGGTTTTTTGGTTATTTTTAGACATTCATTGTTGCACTTTTCTCCCTGCCCACCCTCTCTCCCCCAAATCACTCTTCTCCTTGAAAAGTAAAAGAAAAACTCTTTCATTATTATGCAATCCCTCCCCCCAGGTCCACTCCACTATGCAGCCTTCTTCATTCTGGACTCCTGTCATGACAAGAATACCCATTCATATATCCCTTTAAACAGTCCTCTCCCTCATCTGTTTCAATGCAGTAACGTCATTCCTCCCCTCCTTTTCTATCTTCCCTCAACCCTGATGTCAGTTCCATTTTGCAACCGTGGCCCTATGCAATTTTTGTCCTTCTGTGACTGAGATATTTGTATCATGTCCATTTTTAAAAAATTCTTTTATCATGTCCATTTTACAGATGGGAAAAGCTTGAGGTTGTTGACTAGCATGTTTAATAACAGCTATTCATTAGGAGCCGCTGTTGTGTATCGTCAAGTCAGAACTGAGCCATCGCTGACCCTCCAGCAGGTTTTCAGAGGTCGTTAATCACCCAGGAGGAGATTGTCCATCTTCTTCCTGCAGGGAGATTCACACCACACGCTTTGGGGTTGGCGGGGTAACTCCTTACCTCTCGGGAGTTCTGGTGACCTAAGGGGAAGGGAGCCGCACTGCCCACCCCAAGTCATGTGGTTCAAATCCACTGGCTAGTCTACAGGAGAAAGATGGGTCTTCTCCTCCCGTGCATTTTACTGCCTCTGTAAATTTGCTGGAGGGTCAGCTATGGTTCGCTTCTATGTCAACAACACACAACAATATTAACTAAGAGAGCTGAGACTGAAACTCAGTTTAGGTCTGGCGACTGTAAAATCCTTCCTTCAAAAGCTTGGAGCTGCACACCCATGTTTATTGTGGCATGTTCACAATAGCAAGGAGTTGGAAACAACCTAAGTGCCCATCAACAAACGAATGGATAGAGAAGCTGTGGTATATTCACACAATGGAATAGTACGCTGCATTGAAAAATAAGGAACTCATGCAATGTTATTCAAAACGGGTGACCCTGGAGGAGATTATGCTGAGTGAAGCAGCTCAGTCACAAAAGGACAAATACTGCATGGTGCCACTGTTGTAAAATGGGACTGACGTCGGGGCTAGGGGTAGACTGAGAAAGATGGGATAAATAATGCATTCTGAATAGAAACAGATGAGGGAAAGAACTATTTAAAAGGGATATGTGATTAGGTATTATTGTTGTGACATGAGTCCAGAACGAAGGCTGCATAGTGGAGTGGACTTGGGGGGAGGGATTGTGTACCAATGAAAGAATTTTTCTTTTCCTTTTCAAAAAGAAGAGTGGACTGGGGGTGGAGGGGGTGGGCAGGGAGAAAAATGCAATGGTGAGTGAATGGAAATCCAAAGTCTCTGTAAACTTTCATTAAAATGCATAATAATGGGGGGGGGCTTGGAGCATTTAGTTGGAACCAGAATCCTATTCCCTTGCTTCCCAGGAAGGTGCTGAGGGAGATTCTAAGCAGCAGGTCACACAAGAAAGCCATGCACAGGAACACGACTCTCCTGGAAGAGACAGGGCCTGGAGGGCGTCAGAGGACAGTGGGCAACTAACTGCTTTATGAATCTGGGAGCAAGTTGAGGAATGCCAGGACCATGGTGGGGGTGCATAGCCAAGCACTTGGACAAGGAGCCCTTGGTTCAAGGCTCTTCTTTAAACTGGCTGACCCTGCTGCTAGGAAAATGGGTTTGTTTCTTGCTCTGGAACCTCCTTCTGAGTGACATAAGTGTGGGCTGAGGTGGGGAAACCATGAGTCCTCTAAAGTGAGGCCCGTTTTTGTTATAACACTCTGGGGGCTCTAATGTATATCTTCTAGCACCACAAAATCTAAGGAAATGGCTCTGCACGTGGTTTGGGAGATGTAAAACAGCACATTTAGTTTTCAATAAAAACAATGAGTGAAAAATGGCCCAGATGCTGTCAAAAGGCAGATATGGGACAAAGCAAAGGGGAGAACCAGGAAAAATGACTGTGAAATGCAGAATAAGCTGAACACAGTGGAGGCCACCGAGAGCCATGAGCTACATCCTCTGGGGTCCTGCTGGAAGGTGGCTGGCAGAGGGTGGCCCTTTTAGATACAGATTTCAGGAGTCTACACAGCACCTCCTGCTACAAACAGAGCTCCCCATGGGACTTTCTGGGGGCCTCAGAATTCACTGCCAGCTATTCAGTCTTCTTGGTTACATTTTTTACAATTTGAGCTATAAGCATTCTGGTTGAGGCACATCTGACTCTGTCTTCGTTGGCTAAGTGGCTTTTGGTGAACTGGGAACCTGTACACTCTCTGGACAATGTGGAGGGGGAGAGAGAGAGAGGGAGAGGGAAAGAGGGAGAGAGTGAGAGTGAGAGTGAGAGGGAGAGGGAGAGTGAGAGTGAGAGA